CAGAGCCCCAGTGCTGAGCGGCCACCCTCTCCCCACCAGGCCCCACGAGCACCGCCTTTACAGCGGAGGAACCGGCGAGGCTCTCCTGGCCCCGCCAGCGCAGAGAGGACGAGGGCCCTGGGTGGCCCGGCCCTTGTGCCTCTCTGACACCTGCTGTTGCAGGTGCCGTGCGCCGGCCCTTCCGAGCAAGGTTATTCCCCTGACTGCCAGCAGCGGCCCTGGGTTTCCGGGTGGCCGGTGCCCACCCCAGCCCAGGAGGCCAGCCCCTCATGCAAGGAGTCCCGGACCTGCCAGCCTCAGCCTCGGGCCAGTCCTGCAGGGCTGGGACATCACTCCCCCAGAGTCCACTGAAGGCCTCTCCAGTGGCCACAGGTCGCAGCTGACCTTGCTCCTCCCCTCCCCCTGAGCTGGGCACCTGTGTCCTGGCCTCTGGCTCTGCTGCGGGGCTGCCCCCTTCACCAGGCCCACTGTCCCTCTCAAGCCGTTAAGACGCATCTCAAAGCCTACAGGGAGAAACTGAGGCACAGGAGCTTCCAAACCCTGAGTGGGGGCCTCTTTCCCTCACGAGGGGAGGCACAGGAAGTTCTGACCCCACATAAACCGTACCCCGCAGCCTGCTGACTGCTTACTTCCCGAGGTCACGGAGGAAGTGGCAGAGCCGCCGACCTGAGGAGGGCGCAGGGTGGCCCAGCCACACCCCACGGGCAGTGAGGGAAGGGAGAAAGCAAGAGGCAGACCCTCACCAGGGCTCTCGCAGGAACCCTGTCCACACACCCGCAGCCCTGCTGGGGAAAGACGGGCACCAGGACACAGCGGCCCACGGAGCCATGGCCAGCACCCGGGCAAAGGCCCTTTCTGAAGCAAGGAAGAGACCGCTGCCGTCATGCCCCTGAATGGGGAGGAGACTCAAGGACAGAAAGAAGCTGGGATGCCCAGGGAGAGCGCAGACGCCGTAATTAAAAATGAATAAAATCAGCCAGGTGTGGTGGTGCATGCCCGCCATCCCTGCGTGCTGGGAGGCTGGGGCAGGAGGGTCGTGAGTTCCAGCCCAGCTTGGGCAACATAGTGACTCAGCAAGACCCTGCCTCAAACATAAATAAGTAAAAAGTGTTGGGGAGGTAGCTCAATGCAAAGCCCGGAGTCTAATTCCCATTACCTCAATCAACCAACAAGGCAAGCGGGGCGGGTGGTGCAGGAGAGGGGCAGCCCTCAGTGAGGGTGCCCAGGCTCTATCACAGCCTCTGGGCCCAGCTCTGAAATACAACCTCAAACCCCCCTCAGCTGCCTGGCTCTTCCCCGAAGAGCCAGGCACCGGAGCAGAGAAAAGCCAGTGCCACTATCCCCTGTCCCGGTGGTGATCTGCAAGGCCACCAGCAAAGCAGCGTCTTCTGCACCACTGATTGGGGGGTGGTCTGAGGCACAAAGGGGGGATCGAAGCCAGAGGAGGCAAACTGGTGAGAAGAGGAAAGAAACGGGGTACCCTCGGCTCTGGACTCTGACATGTGGGCGCTGGAGCTGAGGAGCACTGAGGGGCGGTGCTTGTTCCCGGACACCTGGACCACCAGGGGACCAGGCCTGGTCAGAAACCCTGGGCTCCATCAGCTTCCCACACGATAGCCACTTTCACTGTGGCGCCAGTGAACCCTGCACTGCAGACCTTTCTGTAGAAAGAACTTCCAGAGGGGCTGGGGATTTAGCTCAGCGGCAAAGCGCCTGCCTGGCAAGCGCAAGGTCGTGAGTTCGGTTCCTGGTACCGCAGAAAAACCAAAAAAAAAAAAAAAAGAAAGAACTTCCAGAGTTCTGAGTAATTAGCTTGCAAAACTTTCGATGATGGAGAGCCTGAATCAAGATCCGAGTCATCCCTCCCTGATCCCAGGGCTGCTGCTCTGTGTGAAGTCCCCACAGCACACATCGAGGGCCTGAGGGTGGCCCCCAACCTGAGGATTCAACCAGGACTCCAAGGGCCCAGGACGTCCTGTGGATGTTCGTCACAGGGGTTGGGATCTTCACCCCCATGGACGTTACAAGGGGAAACAAAGTTTTGCATCTCAGACAGATTTTTCAAAAGTTAGTGAACTATAGCTGGGCATGGGTGCAGAGCCTGAAATCCCAGCACTCTGGGAGGTTGAGGCAGGAGGACTGCAAGATCAAGCCCAGGCTGGGCAACTTAGCAACTTAGCAAGGACTTGTCTCAAAATAAAAAGTCAAAAAAGGGCTGAGGATGGAGCTCAGTAAGAAGGCCCTGCCTTCAGTCCCGAGTATCACAGACATAAAATTAGTGGAGTAAGTAGCAGCCACTCAGAAAGCAAATTGATTGAAAATTGGTAAATGTATTGAAAAATGAATCTCTAAATTTTGTGCATGTTATAAATGGTAGGAAATAAACTGAATACATTATATGATACGGAAGCTATGACTCGAAAACATTAAAAATGGTAAGCAGAGCTGAAAATTAGGCACAGGGATCATTTGTAAGAGGGGCAGAAATTTAGAATTCCTAATGTAGACAGGTCTATCACGCCAGAGTTAGGCCCCTGGTGAAAAACGGTAGCTCCCAACTTAGGCAGGGCTAGCTTCATAGACGTTTTTGAACATCTTGAACTTCAAGATCCCCAAGATAACCTGAACTCTGATTGCTGAAATGCCTTCATTTCCGAGCCATTTTTGCCATCCAGAGCGCGACCGCGACTTGTTTCTCAGAACGTCTAGTCACACCCTTCCCTTCGCGGTCCAGTGCTAACTGCCAGGGGATCTTCTCCAGAGTCAGCTCCCAGCGAGGGTCCTCATGATGTGCTCAGGACCCTCAGTTCTCACTGGGCACACCAGCACTTTCTTAGAGGCCCCCACTGCTGCCCACAGGAGGGAACATGATTCCCTACAAGACGACTGCAGAGCTGGCACGAGGCCAGCCGCTGTCCTTTTCAGCGGTACCACGATGTCCCAGGACACAACGGCCACCCGCCCACACTGAGCGGCTCTGGTCTGGGACGCTCCGTGGGAACGCCACACAGGACCACACACAGCCTCTGTGATGGGCAGACTCATGCCCACTGTAGTCCCAGGGCCCAGGGCATGGAGTGGGCACACAAAGGGAAGGACCCGCCTACGCTGTGGCACCAACCGTTCCCCGCAGCTCCCAGGATGGCAGCGCCAGTGCCGCCCCCGCTTCCTTCTTGGCCGGCACCGTTCACTCACAGACACCCAAGCAGGCCCAAGGCCAGCGCAGCACAGGCTCCTGTCCCCATCTGCAGGGCCTCACCAGTCACAGATGCCCCCGCTGTTACGGTTCTGGGGGTGAGCCAGCAATAAAATCCTCACCCTTACACTCCAGTCAGAGTGTTTATAACCCCCTCTAAGGAGCCTAGAACCCAGTGCGAAGTACAAAGTGTTAAGCAAAAAAAAAAAAGAACACACATCAGCTTTATAAAAGAGCATTTTACTTATTTCAACAAAGAAAAAGATCAATATAGTTTTTAAACAATACAAAAATAAATATTCATTCTGCATATTAAAGATGTGCTTTCACATTGGACCGGGGAGTGGGGCGTCGGGTTATCTCACAAACACCTCAGCAAACACCTGTTGCCCTAGGATAATGCTCCCCTCCATAGGGCGGGGCTGCCCCGGGCGAGCTCCAGCTTTTCAGATCTTGAGTCAGACTCTGCCCAGGCGCTTGCCGAGCCCCAGACCTCCCCTACCTCCCACTGTGAGACTCTGGGTGCACCTGGCAGGGACCCAGGCAGGTCACAGAAGGGATCCCGATCCTGTCCCCCGAGGGAGTACAGGGCGATCCTCCCCACAGCCCAGGCCTGCCTGGCACCTACACCCACCCACCCACTCGGCGCCCCCAACTCCCATCTGCAGCAAGCAGCCCCCAACACCCACGCAGCCCAGTGTGCTAGTGCCTGGGGGCACACAGGACATGGACATCTAGAAGGAGCCTTGCGCTGGCAAAATACAGGGTGCTTTTAGATAACATGCTCAAGTATTCTCTAGAATGCAAATGCTGGAGGGTCAGAGGGGTGACAGGAGTGAACGGCCCTGGCCATTACGCCAAGCCACCAAGCCTTCAATCCCTGGCCAGGGATCAGCTCCACGCCCCTCTGCCCCTCGTAGGAAACGCATCTCATCTGCCAGTTGAGCTTGCGCAGGGCCAGAGCTGGGGCTGCTCTGCCGGCTTTTCTACCACCACTGCTGGCTGGAACAGGGGTGGGCTGGGGAGCCCCGCAGAGTAGCAGCGAGGAGGCCGACAGCCCCGGCCACAGCACCAGGACACCCCAGATGCGATGCCAGATGCGATGCCTAGGCACAGGGCACTAGCCAAGCAGCAGAGCGCGGAGTCAGCTGAACACACGCAAAATGCTCCTGCAATTCACAGGCACTTGCTGGACTTACAGTTTGCATCCAGCTCACTTTAAAGTAAAAAAGATTCGCAGCAGCTTACAGGACAGCATGTAAGATAAGGCCATTAAAAGCACAAATATTTTTAAAACAAGTCAAAACCATCTAGAAAGAAACGAGAGGAATCTGGAATTCGATGTAACTACAAAAATAAAAATAGTAACTGCAGCTCTCAGCTTCCAGGTAACAAAACCCCAAAGGAAAATTTTGCCTCATCTGAAACCCAGATGCCCTAAGGCACCTACATGTGGACAGGTGCTTTCCTGCACCAATTCCAGAAAGAACAGTTCTCCAACAAGAACAGGTTTCTGCTTTTGCCCCTTAAGAGGAGGCTCATAGCTAAATACTGAGAAATCTTATTACAGAGCTTAAAAGTGAATAGATTCTCTGCTCTACACGGGCTCAGGCATTAGAAACCATCAATCTATATTCCTGATAAGACAGGAAGACAGTTAAAAGCTTGTTCTCCTCGCAAGTGGAGTCTAAGGTCCACACTCCTTAACTCAGGATCTGTCACAAGGAGTGACAAGTCTTTGGAAATGCTACACAACCCCAAATGCAGAATGAATCATAGCAACTAAGAATAAGCAAAGAAAAACTGCAGAAAATACAATTTTTAATCTCAGGTTACAATTTTACAGGATCCAGGCCACTGTCCGAAAGTTCCCACCTCCTGAGCGAACAGAACTGTGGCCCAACTGTGCCCAGCACAGGCTCCTCAGCCGCACAGCCAGCGGAACACCCCGGCCGCAGCGTCCACGTTTGCCAGTCACTGTGACCGGTGAGCCACGCGCAGGGTGGGGCGCCGGGGAGAGACGCCCCTTAGACAGTGATCTGCTGGTTTTCTCTGAAAAAGGGTCTCTGGTGTGAAGCACAAATCTCAGGAAACATCCGGAAGGCCTGGTCCAGCTGCGGCTCCTCGGTCACCGGCAGCACGGAGCTCGCGGTGCAGCTCTTCCCCGAGTCCTCCACCAGCTGCTTGACGTACAGCTGCTCCACCTGCAGGACCACACAGCGTCAGACGGGAGCTGGCGGGGGGCCAGGCTCTACCCAGAGCCGCGCTGCCCCTGCCCGGCCCGGTGAATGAAGGGAGCGGGCAGCGTCACTGCAGAGACTGCCACCCACATGGCTCAGTAGCACCCCAGTGCGACTGCTCCACGCCCAGAATTGGACCACTGCAGTGCCACTCCTTTGATTATACTTAGGCAAGGGCTTCCAAAGTCCTGACCTGTCACTTAGATTTGAGGGTACCTGAACTGGTGGGATCCTTCTAGGAGGAGATTTTAAAAAGCAACCAAATAAAGATACACCCACACGCCGAGACGCCAACAGCCCAGTCACCAGCCCACACCTGAAGGTCTGTCCTGCTCACAGGTGGGATCCCCCAGTCCCCACCACCTCGTCTCAGCCCACGTGCAAAGTCCATCCTGGCACCTGGGCACCTGGCTGCTCGCTCTCACCTGCACCAGGATGAGCTTGGAGCGCAAGGGCGCCATGTCCGGAAACTCCTCCCCGAAGCACAGCACCACCCTGCTGTCGGGCAGGCGGCTCTGGCTGCCGTAGAACTGCTGCAGCTCTGGGGGGACACAGAGGACGGGAGGGTGGGGGCGGGCTCCCAGCAGTGGGCCAGGGACAGACGGGCATGGAGCTGGCAGCGGGAAGAGGCAAAGCGAGGGGCATCTGGGCCAGCACTGCACGTGTGTACGTGCTCTCAAGCGGGAGGCCCTGGGGCCGAGATCCAGCCGAGGAGCGGTGAGTTTGGCCACTCCCTGGCTGGCACTGGATCTGGATGCTTTCCATGGCGCAGGTCCCTGGTCCTCCACTCCCTGTTGCTCACTGGGACACTGCTCCCTCCCACCCCTGCCTGAGCCCGCAGGTGCCTGCATTTGCAGCCCCCCATGCCTCCCTCCACCCGGGGCAGCAGGTAAAAAATGGGACTCCAAGTCCTGGACCTTCCCTGGGAGTCAGGGCTGCAGCAGCCCCAGGAGCAGTGAGCCGTGCACTCGGGATGACGAACCTGGCCTCCCTGCTATGCATGGACCCTGGGCTCACACCAGAGTTCTCGTTGGCAGGGCGGGGCAGCGGAGCCCGACACCAGCTCTGGGCCAGGCTGCTCTGGGGTGAGCAGCAGAGAGAGCACAGGCAGAGGAAGGACACCCCAGCCTTGGAGGAGACCTGTGTGGGGTCCCAGACACCTGCCTCGCAGAGCAGGGCATTGGTGGGCAGCACTCGTAGTGTCTGCGTGTCACCGAGCACATCAACACACGCATCTCCAACGTGCTCAGCAGTCCCGACTCCACCAGCTGCAGATGCTGAACCGGGCCTGCCTGAGCCCACATCTCTCACCACTCCCAGGCCACAGTGACAGTGCCAGGAGCAACTGGAAGGTGGGGCCCAGGGCCACATGCCGGCCTGCACTCTCCTATCCCCCGCCAGGAACGGAGGCCCAGAGACCCTCTAGAGCACTCACAAAGTGCAGGGTGTGGTTCAGGGGCCCCAGGCTGCAACCCCACCCCGCATCTCCTCCCCATGCCCACCCTTGGGTGCGGATGGCCTGCAGAGGGCAGGCAGAGCAACCTCCAGGGTGGAGGTACCGACCTCGGAAGAACTGGCTGGTGTCAAAGACCTGGACCACCTCGTCGCGCTCCAGCTTGTTGGGTCTGCCCTTGCACACCACGGCATTGCCGCTGCAGAACACGCGGCCCTGGCACAGCCGCTTGACGAACACGCCCTGGCGGCTGCTGTGCAGGAGCACCCCTCGCTCCAGGTGCCCAAACAGCTTCCGCGTCACCTGCCTCTGCCGCTCGCTGGGGATGGTGTCGGCCGGCGGGAAGCGGACCAGCTCCAGGCCCTCGGGCCCGTACAGCTTGGCGCTGGGCAGCCCCGGCGGGCCCAGGGCCAGGCGACAGCCCTCAGGGCAGGTGGTGGTGGCCTGGCCCACCAGCTTGCCCCCATAGTAGAAGCTGATCACCATCTGGGAGAAGGCTGCGGAGGACAGGGGGATGGGTGAGAGCTCTTGGTACCCAACCATCGGAGTCACCTTCCTCCCACACGGTGCCTCGCTCCTTGTGCCTATGACACGCTGAGGAAGGCCGCAGGCCACCCGAGAAATGGCGTTCTCATCAGCATGAACAAGTCCACAGGGAGACAGAGACGACCTGGGTCTACACCCTGCACCCGCCACGGTGAGTTCACTCCTTACGTCCCAGCCCGGGGGAGGCCTGGTGACTGTGACACACGCGTCACACTGGGGCGAAAACACGCCCACACCTGCTTAGCACACTGATCTCCATGCCATCCAGAGGGAGGAGACGGGAAGAGCGAAGCGGGAAAAGTAAGGGTGTCACCTTCTCGCTGTGCCAGTCTCTGGGGGCCCCCGGGTTCAGAAACTCTCCCTCGAGCCCTGGCATAGAGCAGGTGCTGCCAGTGAACTGCTACGGGGCAGAGGGGCTCATCCCGAGAAGACCCCTCGCTCCACCCTCACCAGTGGTGGCAGGTGACTAGAGCAGGAAGCCGCAGGGGTGCCGACTGACCCTTCGCACCTCCAGCCCCACGACTTCCTGTTAGGACAGCGGCAGGGAACGCGGGGCTCTGGCCTGAACTTACTAACCGCCCTAGGCTTTCCTAGGCTTTTCTCTGCGCTGGCCTCTGACCCCCTGCTCCCAGCAGCGCACCAGTCTTCCTTCTCCAGGCAGGGAGAGTGGCTTCCCAGGGGGCTACTTTGAAAAAGTGAGGAGACTGAGAAAAATATTATGCTCCTCAGAGTCCAGGCAGCCCTGGGCTGTGAAAACCCGCTGTGAAGGTGGGGCTCAAGCGACAGAAGCCTGGGCGGCACTCAGTGGAGGTAGGAATGCAAGCAAATGCACGTGTGGGTTAGGGGAATCCGCACGTTAGCAGCCCTGAAGCACAGATTAGCCCCACAAGCAGCTGGCAGCCTGGTGCGCCCGCAGGGTGCTGCAGGGCAGGGCAGGAGGCCCACTGGAGCCGCTCCAACTGTGAGGTGCCCAACTCCCTGGAGCCCCCAGAGTTGTGCAGTGCACTGCCAGGGCGGCCCTGTGGGTGCCACCTGTGTCACCTGCCTGATGCTGCCGGCACGTGGGCCCTCCCACTGGACTCTGCTCAGGTCAGGTAATAAAGACTCCCCACCCTGTTCACGGGCTCCGCTCTCCTCGGCGGAGTTCCCTGGGGGCTCTGGACTCACACACAGCAAGGAATCAGAGCTGCGCCATCCCACTTGTCCCTGTGACATTCAGGGACACTGAGGCCCCGGTAGGGTCACGCAGCAGGAAGGCAGCGGTGTTGGTTTCTCTGTCCCCCACTCCCTGTGGGCCCCTCAAGCGCACCACGTCTGCGTCCTAGGGGCACTGACACTCCCTTCCCTGAATGAATTCTGAACTTTGCTCCCAATGAGAGACACAGGGCGACTGCCGCGCCGTTTCTGGGCCTCATCTCAGGGTAGCACCTGCCGTGGTGTGCGAACCTGCGGCGCCACGAGGCACAGCACCGAGTCTTGGGGAGCCCAGGGAGACGGTGAGCAGCGCTTGCTGCACACACGTGACACCAGGGCCCAGCCTGACACGGAATCCCAGCCCTGCTGCCTCCAGCCGTGTGACCCAGCCAGCAGCGTCCGTCTCTGTGCCGTTTCCCCAGCAAAGCAGGGCGGGCCAGTGCGCCGCCTCCTACGGCTGCAGGTCGGCACACGTGAGCACCACCCAAGTGCTAACTGAGTACACGGACCAGGACAAGAGGGTCTCAGAAGAAGGGCTCCTGAGCCACAGTGGCAGCCCCTGGCCTAGGGGGCATGATCAGGCCTGTGCCCAGGGCTGGCTGCACGCCAAACCCAGGAGGCAGACTTAACAGTAGGACCATTTTCCAGGTAAGGAAAGGAAGGCACCGCTGGTGCGCGAGGGGCTCTGCCCAGCAGCATGGCTGCAAAGTGGGGGCCCTGGTCTTGTACCCCACAGGCTGGCTGAGTCTGCACCCTACACCACAGCCTGCACACAAACACGGAGAGGCCGTGCCGTCTGCCAGCACGAGGACACCTGTGGCCAGTGCTTCACTCCAGGAGTTCCCATAGAAGCCAGCACTCTTGTTTCTCTGGAAATAGGGAAACGCGTGCCTGGCTGGGTCTCAAGCCCAGGGCACAGCCGCTCCAGCACCCGCAGCCCAGGGCGGCTCTCCACCTCGCGATCTCCCCACTCTCTCGCATCCTTTGCTGTCCACCTCATCCCTGCGTCCCTTCAGCCCTTCGAGCTCAAGCACTGGGGAGCCCACACCAGCTCAGGCTCCTAGAAGGAGGTGTTGGGCTGGGCAGGGCAGCTTCCCTCGCCTCGTGCTGAGCTCTGGGAGCCCCGAGTGACTTCTCCACGCTGCACTCACCTCTCACTCTGACGCCCACAGCGCTGCCCAGGCCAGGGCTTGGTCCCGTGACCCACAGAGCAGCCCAGTGAAACAAGGTCTGCACGATGGGCTCCGAGCAGTTTTCCTGGCTGGGTGAGCACCTACTTCTGCCCCAGGATGGCCCAGGGCATACGCTTCTCTGCTCCCTGTGTCCCCTTCTGCCCGAGTCCCCAGCCGTGTGTTCTGTGGCCACCCCGAGGAGCTGGCGTCTGTTCCTACAGGGCCGCGTGCTGGGGAGACACTGGCTTCCTCTGCTGTGTCACTGTCTGCAGCCCAAACCTCAATCCCGGGGCCCTGCAGAGCATCACACAGCAAGAGGCCACCTCCGTCCGCAGGGGATGGGTGTGGAGACCGTGTGGGACAGCCCCACTTGGACCCACACGGGTCCCTGGCCTTTGTCTTCAAACAGTGCTCACATCCACCCAGCGCCCCCATACCTGCATGGTGTGGGTCATAGGCGGGGTACCCGGTCACCAGCGGCAAGCCTGTGGGGGACAAAGAGCAAATTCAGCATGCCCAGGGCTGGAAGCTGACCAGAGGCTCCAGGCCGTCCCGCGAGCCCCAAGGCTCAGCCATAGCTTCTGCTGATCTTGCACTGTCCCTGCAGACCCAGGTTTCCTCAGCGCAGATGCCAGACCTCAGCCAAACCAGAGGCAGGGGACTTCCTCTGCACTGTGGGACTTCGGCCCTATGCCGGTGACCCTGGGAGCCACATTCCCTTCCCACCCCAGGGGTGGGGACATCACTGGACCCCGTGCCACCACCCAGGGCACCCAAGGTCCAAGCTAGCGTTCTCCAAGACATCACCACCCACACCTGGTCCCCGCACCGGCTGGGCCGGCTGCCCTCCTGGCCACGGGAAGGCTCAAAGCTGCCCAGCGCTGCAGAGGCTGCAGGCCAGGAGTCACCCTGATTAGCTGAGGGCTGAGCGTGCCAGGCACGGCAATCCGGAGGGTGCGTGCCTCATTACCACCCTCGACCCACGGGGCAGGCCCCAGGGCCTCCATCTTACAAAGGAGTAAACTGAGGCGCAGGAAGATCCACAACCTCCCAGCATGGCTCTGAGCCATTTCGCCGGCCAACCTGCCCTCCTCCCCCAGACGACCCCACTTTTGTTGGCTCTGAGGGGTCCCCAGAACCCAAACATAGCAGAGCAGCCAGGACGGACGCAAGCGGCCCAGCGCTGAGTCCTCCGTCCGGCCCCGGGGACAGTCACCAGAGCCGGCGCTTTGCTGTGCAGAAGCGCAGGAGGAACGGACGTGCCTTGGTGGGGAGCCAGGCCTGTCGTCCCCTCTCCGGGCTCAGCACCCTCAACAGGACAACCAGTGTCACAGTACAAAGCACCACGCCGTCCCCAGTGGCGCAGGGTCCTCACCTGCGCTGGGCTGCGGCACCCACCAGTCTGGGAGGAGCTGGCTCCTGCAGGCCTCTGGCGGGGACGGGCTCCTCTTGATCATCCCCATGTAGTCGTCCACAGGAGGCTGCTATGGGCGAGAGACGGCCGCTCAGTCCCCAAACTACCAGCAACTGCTACGCAACGGAAGCAACACGGTCACCTCTGTCTGAGGAGACGAACACGAAGCTTTACTTGCCGCTTGAGCGGTCCTGGCCGTAAACCCACCAGGCCAGCAATCAAGCGCGCCGAATGACCAGCCTCTTGCAGGCCACCGGAAAGTTCCCTGGTCTTTACGCGGAGCACCTGTCGCAAGCTGAACAGTCCAGGTTATGCAGCTGCCACGAGGCTGGCAGACGCGGACAGGCTGGGACACCCATGGACGGTGACGGCTGAGCTGGCAGAAAAGCCATCTAAGGACAGCAGGACGTCGTAAGTGGGACTGAGAGCCAAGAAGCTGCCTGGTCTGTGGCCAAAGAGCACGCAGAAACCTAACGGCTGCTACCTGCAGAGGAGCCAGCAGCGCACAGCCGCCAGAAGCCGCCAGAAGCGAGCTAAGAACCTCTCACGGACCCGCACTGCCTTTCCCAAGGGCTGTGGGCATCACTTTAGCTGTGGAAGCCCCCCTTGGAATAACCACAGACAACACAGTACAGGGCAATGCACTGAAACAGCGCCACAAAACCCCCATGCTTCACCTAAGGAGGCCCTGGAGGCCTTCACCGCTAACCTATTAACGACTACTCTATGCACACTTCTCACAGACCCGCTTAAGTGATTTTCCAACCCACTAAGGAATAAACTTCACAGGTTAAAAGCATAAGCAGTCTGATAGCCACGAGTCACAATGACGACCAAGCAGCAAGAAGGCTGATGCTCTCGCGGCTGTAGCTGGCGTACGAAGGGTGCAAGATCTCACTGAAAAGACTGCCGTCCGAAACGTTGAGGCGTAGGACCTTGCAGTGCTTGAGGGAAGCTCACTGACGCAGAGCAGCGGCTCGGGAGGAAGGAGCAGATGTGCCCTGCGGGTGGAGGCCGCTGAGCGGTGGCCAGGGTGCCCGCCCCACATCCGCAGGTAAAAGTCACTTCCGGGGACAGCCAGCTCCACTCACCTCTTTGATCATCTCGTCCACCTCAGCGCGGCTGCACTCCATCTCCGCCACCTCACTCACACATCCGGGAGGCATGATGCCCAGTTTGCCTAGGGAAACCAGAGGAGCCCTGTCACCCTCCACACCGAGCCACACAACCATCCCGGGGCCAGCCGGCGGCCTCCCTGGCTGTACTAGGCAGTGGCCCAAGGCCTAGACACAGGCCCTCTCCTCCCAGGCTGCGGTCACCTGACCAGAAAAGTCAGAAGAGAGAAGTAGGTGACAGGGATCGTAAAGGCAGCACTTTTGGGGACAGGGGCAGCAGTTGGCCTCTTCCTTCTCTTTGCTGAGATGCAAAGTAAATCCCATCAAATATACTTTATGCCAGGTGTTTACTACCTACCCTACAAAAGTTACATTTATAAGCTGCGGTACTTGAAAACGAGCGAAGATTTCCTGGCAAACATGTTGGCAGGTTGAGTCACTGTTTTTTAAAGCCAGTTGGCAGGAAATCTCTTTTTGGCCTTTCCAAATATATGCACATGTCTCTGTGCACACACACGCCCTTTCTGCCGATGGCCAGCTGGACCAGCTCCGATCAGCACCTGCCCAGGGGCACCCAGGATCTCCAGAGTAAGCATGCCCCGGCCAGAAATTCACCTGTCAGGTTTAGCACTGCGATATCCATGACAACCCACAAACGCCTGCTGGCCTTCCCTCTCCCAGGGATCCATGCACTCTGCCCATCCTTTCGTTCTGACTGAGTTTTGGGAGATTCACGGATTCACTTAGAAGCGGCTGCTGAGCACAGGCGGGCAGGTGGGGCGGCACGAGTGCAGCCTGCAAGCCCCTCAGTACAGGGCAGCGTGGGGCCACTGTACACTATGCAAGTGCACTGTCTGCTGGCCCCTGAGAACCTGTTCCCTTGTCCTCTAACAGCCACCCCTGCAGGTGACACAGCCCCACCCCCAGGTATAAGAAAGTGTCACCTGCCGGGTCAGGCTTGGCTGGCCCTGGAGGGGGTCAGGAAAACATCCCTGCAGCTTGAGGTCACATGTGACTTCACAGTGACCAAACATTATCCAAAGTGGGGGGAAAGGCAGAGCAATGACTGCCTAGCCTTGCCGGACCACCTGGGCGTATTCACGGGGCCCTATCGGCCATGTGACTCTCCAAGGGGGCCACTGTGTTGGATTCAGTGAAGTCAGGTGTTCACCTGCAGGTGATGAAGCTACAGATGGTCGGAAGACAGGATAACACCCCGAAACACGATCGTATCATCCAGACCAGACTTTCGTCTCCCCATCCTCCCCTGACGGCACACACCACCGCCTCCCCTCACGTCCTCAGCGAGCTCCCTCACAGTGCTGCTCCCCCCTTAAATAGGGGAGGACTGTAACTCTCTCACACGGGCTCACTGTGTATTTGTTGGAGTCATGATTTTAACTTTTTAAAAATTATGCACCAACATTTTCAACAGTTGAGAAGAATCAGTGTGTTAATAGAATGTTTTAATCCAGCAGTGATTAGATTTTATCCCCTGAGCCAGCTCTGATTTGCGGCGTCTACACAGCCATTGCTTTGGAAAGGATTCTCAGGCCAGAGCCAAGCTGGACACATCCAGATTGATTGGTGATGTCTGAGCAGAACACAGGAATGAGAAGAGGGGAGCAGTGCCGTATTTTTTTTTTTGCTTTCCCTGATTCTTTCGGGGTACAGAGCTGGGAGCTACCTCAAGAAGAATGACGTGCCAGAGTTCCCAAGCAGCTCCCGGGATGTGGCAGTACTCTGAGGCCTATTCAGGAACTCTTCAGGAACTCTTCTCTCCACCCTTCAACCCAGTCCTCCCTTGTCCACCAGATTGCCCCCCACACACACCCCGCAAGGGCCAGAGGACCGCCAGGATTCCTCATGAGAAGCTGCTGCAGGCTCTGTGGCCCCAGCCAGTGAGCTTGTCCTGAGCGTGTCCCCTTGCATGTCCCTAGCCTGGGCCACAGCCCAATCCCCTCTGGCCACCCCATCCTCAAGCCGCCCCCTCAGCTGGAAGCTGCCACTTGGCATCAGATGGGGCATGAGGTCAGTGGAAGGGACCTCAGTGGCCGCTCACATAAAGGAGAGAACCGTTTGTTTAACTAAAGCCGCGCACCCAGACCCTATGGTGGTGACATCCACCCCAGACCCGAGTCCCCGGCGAGGCTGCAGACCTGGCAGCTTCTGGAAGCCTGAGTGCCCACAACCGATAGTTACATTTTTGTTCTTCCTCCGGGACGATTCTGTAAACTTTGTACGGCTCGGAAATGTCCAGCTGGGATCGGTCTGTCACTTCCTCAAAATCTGGGCTCTTGTTCAAAGCACAGCGTAACCTCGTCTTCCAAGTGGCTGGTTCAGCTTTGTCCCCTTCTTTAAACTTCCCTTTAAAAACTGCCCAGGCCTGAAGGAGGAAAGAGGAGCACATTAAACACACGAGGGCTGCTGACCACAGGTCCCCATCATGGGGACCAGACACCCCTCCTCCCCGAGTCTCAGGCCACTGTCTCTCCGGATGTGAAGAGACCCAGGCCAAGCAGGGGTGTCTGAGGTCACCTCGCACCCTCCCACAGCCGCCCCTGCTGTGTGCCTTTCACAGTCCCTCCCTGGGCTAAAGGGCTTGGAGCCGCTGAGGTTAAGCTGCTCAAAGAGGAAGTTGCACATGATTTCACTAGAATGTTCAAAACAAAGACTTTTTGCTTTTTCAAATCAACTCCTAGCTAAAACATACTATGAAAAGGGAACATTTGCAAAAACCCTAAATGTGGCCATCAACTGCCCTGCTCCTTTTAATAGAAATTTTGTTTTGCATTTTTGCAAGAGGCTGGCTTTTTGCCCCTCCCCCACCCAAAGCGCTGCTTAAAATGCAATGAAATGTTTTCTCTCTATCAGTTACGCTTTGCTTTTTCAAATAGCTCTGTTTTCTGACCTCTCCAAACCTCAGGATCTGAACTGGAACCAGAAATTCAAACCAGGAAACTTAGAAGTTCAACATGTTTACCATACAGGGGGCAGTATTTGTAAAACAGAACAGGGCAATAAGCATATGTTAAGAATCCAGAATTGGAACACAGCAGCCCATCAGAAGGTAACCACTAACAGGTAAAAATTACCTTCACTTTCAGGCAAAATCAGGCAGTCTTCTCCAGCCTAAGCTAACAAGGGATCTGGAGGGAATTCTCCCTCCCAATCAGGTAACTGCAAGCCGAAAGGAAAGCCACGTTCCCAAGGTGGACCGGGCCTGTACCACCTTCCAGTGCGGCCAGAGCTTAAGGCCTTGTCAACCCCACGAGTGCCCGTAACACGCAGACTCTTGGGCCCGTCCCTCAGGATTCACCTGCGGCAGATGCCAGTCAGGTCTGAACTTACATTTCCAGAAACCCAGAGCGGCATCTTTTTCTTCTCAAAAAGATACAAATGTTTACAGTTTAAGGCCAAGGCTCTCTACCCTACTGATGCCAAATTTTGCACCTAGGCCCCGGGGAAAACGGAACTGGAAGAACATTTCCTATTCGTGAACTCGGCAGTCCTTTCCTTTTCTGACACAGGCGCAAACCCCGCTTTGGAATGAGTTTTATGAGTAAACATTTTTTTTTCCCATTTTTTGAGTCAGGGTCTCGCTGTGTATGCAGTTCAGGCGCACTGTCTCACCAGTGTAAAACCTGAAAGAGTTAATATAAACTCAGAGGTATGGTAGACATTGTGAAATGATAGGAAAACGCTCAAGGGTAAAGGGCAACTGGGATGTGGGAAAAGAGAAGGGAAAGAAGGAGAGATTTTGTATGCATGTATATGCAGGATAGTTAACATAGTCGATCTACTGTCTTCTATTCCTTTGCTGAAAGAAACTGTTAATGAGTCCCTGACTGATCAATATTGCATGTCTCTATTTGTTTCATGAGAAACCACTCTGAAGATATTAATATGTAATACAACAAGCATTGTTAATTTCCTACCACTTTGTAACTCTGTATTGTTTGTACTGTTCTTTTGCTGTTTTGTAAAAGTTTGTCTGTTAATGTTTTCCTCCTTTTATTGTTAAAATAAAAAAAAAAAAGAAATGTCAATTAGAAATCACTATGTAGTCCAGGCTGGCCTCACACTCGCAACCATCTTCCCGCCTCAGCCTCCCCAATTACAAATGTGCGCCACCATGCTCGGCGCTGAGTAAACAATCTTCAGCTCTGCCCTTGGTTGGCTGCACTGCTGACCCTGCACTGATTTGCGTGTCACTATTTTAAGGAAATAGCAGACCAAACCCTGTACTAAGAGAAGAGTAACTTCAGGGTTTCTCTGGCTCTGCCTCTTCACACCTCCTGGTGTGAAGAGCTGGCTGGCTCTTCCTGGAGCAGCAGCACCTGAGGCCTTGACCCACAAATGCCAGCAGCACCCTTCCCCTTGAGCAACAGGAAGTGACTGCAGGCATGACCAAGTGTCCCCTGGGAATAAAGTCATGCCCCCGCCCTGCCCTTGAGAACCACTGGTTGACCCATCCTCCACCAGGACCTTGAAAGGCACAGACTCTGCAGCAATGTCACAATAGCCGGTCGTGCCAGCCTTGGCACCTCTACCAGGCCCCCTCATTCCTTCTCACCACCCACTCACCACGAGGAAGGCCAGGAGGCTCCATCCACCAAAACATGCCCTGGGACGCACCCTGTGTGCCGCTGGCAGACAGACCCCCGAGCAGAGTCACTCTGCTGGCATCTGGGCTCTCACGGCCTCTCTGCCCAGCTCTAAAAACTCAGTGTAGCTGACTGATCCTCTCCAGTTCTTCCAGAGCCAAAACCAGACAGTGCGCATGATGCCAGCCACACAGGAGCCACTAGGCTCGTCCCCGGCAATGTCAGCACTGTACTCTCGGCAGCCAGTTCCGAGTCCCCCTCATCTAAAAAACCATCACACGTCACATTTTAAAACTCCTTCAGGGCTTGTGGGTCTGGAACACCTGGGCCCCGGGATAACATTCAGATCCATCAGGATCAATGCCCACCTGCGATCACAACTGCAGGTCCACCCCCCGTCACATGAAACAGGCAAAGCGCTCCTTTAAAACCACCCGTGTGGTGTCGGGCCTCCTCACGGTGCTCGGGTTGGGACAACGGGACTGAGCGTCTTTCTCACGGTTCAGTCTGCGGTCAGCACACGACGCCGGCTGCAGGAGGACACTGCAGACACGCAGAGCCTCTGGTGTAAGGGGCTTCTTCCCACTGCTGACCAAGGCAGGAAAGCAAGCTCCCAGATTTTTTCCTACTCCTAAATTTCAGAAAGGTTTTCTTTGCACATTTGAGAAAAGTGTCTCCAGCTCACCTGGCAGCGCCCAAGACAGCTCCGCCTGACCTCGGCATCGTCGATTCCTTCCAGCAGCAGCCGTGCTCAGTGGGCACCGCACAGCCGTCTCTCCCCAAGGACACCGAGCAGGCCCCTCCGCGTGACCCAGCTCAGGGAAGCAGGAGGCGGTGCCGATGACACCATTCCACCCCAGCTCGACCAGCACCGGCCCCTGGCCTCCCACTCGGGTGGGCACCCGCGTCCCCTGCCTGTCCCCATTCCTGCTGAGATTGTAGACTCATCTCAGATTGCCACATCGGGCGGCTGCGTAACCAACGGAAACATCGGGAATCTTGCACATTTTTCTCAAGGCTGTTGAAACGGCCATGAAGAACATTGCACAAGATGTATAAATCTGGGGCTTTATTTCATTACCCAGAATCCTCGCCGAAGCGGGGGACAGGTGAAGGGAGAAGCTGGCTCTCTGCAGCCTGCCTGGCACTGTCCGCACCTCTGGAAGCAACTCTGCCACTGGGCCCCAGCACCCAGCACCACTGCTTAATTGTTGATCCCAGCCACAGTCAGCTCAGAGCAGGGTTTTCAGTGGGAAGGGCAAGACCATGCTGCCAGGGGACACCTGGCCATGATGGAGACATTTCTGGCCGTTGGGGAAGGGGATGCTGCTGGTGTCTGGCGGGAGAAGACCAGGAGGGTGGGAAATATCCTACAAAGCCCTCACAATGAGAAGTATCTGGCTCTCGACCTCACAGCGTTGAGGCCTGGAACCCTGGCCTGCAGTGACCCAAAACCTGGAGTTCCCAGATGACGGATGGCATTTGGGCACCATGTACCCTGAGCAGAGTCAGTCCAAAGAGAACATCCCCATGACGCCAAAGGCAAAAAGCAGCTCAAAGCGAAAGCACGCAAAACCCACACCGGCGCTGGGAATGCAAGAACAGGGGCTGGCATTTCGAACCCTGGGGTTTCCACGCCTCCTGAGCTGGGCCCTTGACTAGAAGGAACCTGGGGGACACAAAGGCAGCAGGGAACCCCAAGAGTGAGTACAGAATGTTCCCATGTGCCCATTTTCCTTAAAGTGATCAGCAACCTGCATGGATTCTCAGAGACAAGCCCTGAACACAGATTTAACAGAATCACTAGAGCACAGCGCCCCGGACCAACACGGAGCACAGAGACCGGAAGGACTGACACGCAGGTTTAAGCCGAGCCTGACCTAGCTGTGCTCCAGTCTGGGACAACACACGGCCCTTTGCTCTTTCTGGTCATCTGTGTCCGAAGTCAGTCACCTGCAGCTCAGGTCCAGCAATACGATGGAGTCCACCAGACTTCACCTGCCAGCTTGTTCACAGCCTCAGACCTGTCTCTGGTCTTCTGTGACTCAGCCCCCTCCCAAGCACTCAAACCTCTCCCTCCCTGCCCCATACGCACAGAATGCGAACACAGCAGTGGTCTGCAACCTGGGCTCTGAGTCAGACCACCTGGGGGCCTCTGCTTGCAAAGTGGAAGTTTGGGCTGACCTTGACCTAGGGCTCCAAATATCCCTCAGGCCTCCCAATCTCCCTGGACATCTGGAGCCCCTAAGATGCTCCCAGGCAACTCTGATGACCCCAGCTGGCCTGCACAGCTGCACTGCCCTGGCTTGAACTTCTCTGTCTGAAACTAGGTGTGTCAAGGCTAGGACCATGGAGGCCAGGCCCGGCTCAGAACAAACTCTCAGTCAATGCTGCCTGTTGGGAGAAGCAGAGGACCAGGCCCCATGCCTGGGGTAAAGATGGCTCTCCAGGGAGAGAGACACTGGCTGCAGTTCAGGACATTCCAAGCCCCAGCCCATGAGCAAGGACAGGCACATCCCTTGGAGCTGTGTCTACAAGGCCAAGCGGAAGCATTAGGGATACCGGCACAGCCACCAGGAAGAAGAGCAACCCCTCTGTTTGCTAGGGACGCCCAGCCTGACCTTGAAGATGGAGGCATCCACCTCCTGGTTGTAGTCCTGCTTGCCGGCGTGCTTCCAGGGGATCCGGAACATGCTCTTCTCCTCATTTTCCCAGATCAGCCCCGGGTACAGGTTGCTGTCGATCTGTTCAATCAGCCACTGCCGCAGCCGCCGTCCGCCATTCCTGTCACACATCCTTCGAAAGGGAAAAGCAGATCCTGCCATGCAATAAATGCTGTTTGATGAGTCAGAGCCACCCAAGAACGCAGCGAGCAGGAAACCTGGAGGTTCACAACAGAGGTGCTGGCTTGGGGGAAACCCCAGGTCCGGGGACTCTGGGCCACCCGCCAGCGGAAGACAATGCTGGCCTCTGTGACCCCGCCCTGACAGAAGGCTGCAAGGCCGCCCCGCTCGGCCCCTGTGAGCCCCAGCCTCGGTTCCATCGGCGCGTCCCACTCGCCCTGATTTCCCACCGCATCACAAACACAGCTGTTTCCCAAACACAGCCTCGTCCAACAGCGACACTCTCAACACGAGCTCAGGGAAGGTCACCTCTCCACGGTGCTGTGCGCTAAGGAGCACCCGATTACCCGATGCCCGGTGGACAGGCGCCCCCAGGAAGAGCAAGCCCTCAGGGTGCCTCCGGTGGTCCCTTCACAGCTGGTGGAGTGGCAGGGGCAGGAGCTTGGGATAAGACGGAGCCGGGATCCTGGTCCACCCAGGTGACCCCGAAGTATCACTTCCCCCTGCAGTGTCGGAGAGGACTGTCGCACCTGGCGGAGGTGCAGTGAGAGTCCAGGTGCTGCACAGGTAGTAGCGCCTGAGCCGAGGCTGGGCCTTAGAAGACTCCTTGGCTCACAGAGGTGGTTACTCTCTTCCTGGGGACGCTGAGCGAGCCATGAGGAACAGTGGGTGAGGAGGAGAACGAGTTGCAGCTGCAGAAAAGCCAGGTCACCAGCTCAATCTTTCCGGGGGCATGGTGACCTGGGGACCCCAGGACACCCAAGGGCACCCTTAAACATTCCTCCCAGAGCTCGCAGTTGGCTTTCCCAGCAGCCCGGGGAAAGAGACGACACACACACTGCCACGACTCACAGCCAACACTTACAAGAACAGTGCTGGAAATCCCCAGGCCGTTGGACAGACGCCCACCCAAAAAGAAACCCAAGCAACAGCATCTCTGTTCTTCTGATGAAATGTGACCTCTCTGGACATGCAAGTGTGAAGCGATCAGCAGTGGCAGGACATAATATGGTCACAGCCAGAGCCACACTGGTCCACCGGCAAAACAACAGTCAGCAACCTTTGTAAGAAACGATTTGGGAAACTCCAGCCCCCTGCAGGTGGCTGTGGGGGCAGGGAAGGGGGCCAGGTCCCCGGGGGCAGGAGGTGAGATCTCAGTGCCAGTATCAGCTTTTCCACCCATAACCCCGTTGCTCACCTGTGGACTCAGAGAGAGTGCAGGTGTGAAACAGAAATTGGAGTTTGCCTTGGAAACCCCAAGCCCTAGCAAAGCTCTCCCCTGGCGAGACCTGAGGAACCCCCTCGAACCTCTCTCTGAGGGATATGCTTCCAGAGGCCCAGAGTCTGCATCCATAAATGAGCAGGGGCCGATTCAGAAGCCTGGACCTAGGTTCACCTAGGGAGAAGAACGAAGCAGCACCATCACCCACCCCGCAAACGACCAGGCCGGGTGCGCATTTCTACATCTGCTTGGGGAAGAGGGAGGATGCTCCCCGCCTGGGGCTCCGGCTGCTGGAGGAGGTAGGGTAGGAACACAAGGGGCTAGGAGCTGGAAACGTGTCCTGGAAGGGAGATGTCGCCTCGCCCTTGGTCCCAGAGCCCCTGAGGAAGAAGCAATCCCGCTGATTATGCGCCTTTTCCAGAAGGGGTGAACCTTCTCCTCAGGGTGCCTAAGGAGTTCATCACCTCAAAACTGCTAAGGATGACCAACTTAGTGATTCACAGAAAAAAAGGGGGCAATACGGAAACTGGAAAGCACTTTAGAAGCCATCCGATCCAGCCTCTCTTGGCCGAAAGGGGAAAAGCAGGCTCAGAGAGGTACAGCAACTACCAGGGACACCGCGCAGGCGGGTCGGGACCGTCCTCCCGCCCGCAGCAGCTTATTTTCTTCGTTCTACAGGGAGAGGCCACATTTAAGTGGGAGGCCTCAGCACGTGGACAGCCCCCTCAGTCTCCCGCAGTCACCTCTGAAGGGCATCAGAATGACTCTCACAACTGCGGCCCACAATTGTATGATTTATTGAACACTAGCAAATTAACCCCACCAAATGCCCAACCAGGAAAAAAATAATACGCCAGTCACATGCTTATAACTTCCCCTTCCTTGATTTTGAGGTAACAATCCCCTCCACCGACCAAGTGCTATGTGGAGCTCATGTGCATCCCCACATGCACGCTGGGTCCCTGCCCAGACCACCCCAAAGGACTGAGACCCGGGACCCGGCTGAGCCGGCACTGGAAACCCACACACACACACACCCCTCTAGACATTTCTCTTGCCTCAAGTGACAGAATCACTTCCAAATCTTCTGGGGAAACTACCTGCTGGACCCCAAAAGGGGCAACCAAAGGCTCTTACCTTTGGTTCCAAAAACAGTGGGGCTGTAGATTAGGGGGCAATTTAAACCCCCAGAACCTTCAGTCCGCAGTGTCCCTCTCTAAAGCTGTGGGCGGCAGCAGATCTCACCTGGGCAGTCATCCTGCGCCCTGGGGTCCTCTCTCTCTTTCTCCCTTTTTCTGTCTCCCTCTCCGGGGTAGTACAGATTGAACCCAGTACTGAGCTATATCCCAAGACCTTTTTAATTTTTATTTTGAGGCAGTGTCTCACTGTCACTAAGTTGCCCAGGCTGGGCTCCAACTTGCGACCTTTCTGCCTCAGGCTACCAGAGTTTTGGCATTATAGGCATGCGCCATCACGCCTGGCCCTGGGGCTCCTCCAACCCTAGAACTTCCTGCGGCCCTGGACCCTGGCGGGTGCCGACCTCCTTCCCCGGCGGGAAGGGACACGCGGGAGCCGGGATGCCGCGACGCCACTCGGGAACCGCCGCCCGCGTCTCGATCCGTACGGGCCCGCCCGCGCGCGCTGCCCGCCAGGTCCGCGGCTCTTCCCGCTGCCGGATTTCGGGGCTCGCTATGTCCCCCCATTAATAAGCGTGCCGCGTAAGCCACATCTTGGGGAAAATTGAGTTTCACAGCGCAGCCAGCCTGGGGAGCAGGCGACAAGGACGCGGGCAGGACCCCGGCTCCCAGAGGCGCGCG